AATTTGCTAAAAAATTTGTAAACCGCTTAGAGAGGGCTGAAAGCCCTATGAAGCGGTATATAAGTCTAATAAATAAATAAATAAATAAACAAACACAAGCTCTGAAGAGGATCAAGTACTCCACATGAATTTCTATACTATGTTAACATTGAGTTTCTTAAAAATGGAAAATAGATAGAAAATACATATTATAATTTAGATTTATAAAGCTGCCCAACTCAATATTGATTCAATGTACAAATTAAAAATAGTTACAATACCTACAAACAAAATAAGAAGTATAATGTACATAAAGGACTAAACAGACATACCACAATTGAAACACGCTGCATGCCAATGGGAAAACTCCCCCTCAGTTTGCATGGGAAAATCTGTTTTTAAAAAAGCACTTAAGGCTTGAATGGAATCTAAACCTCTAGGTGGGGGAAATAATCCAAAAAATAGGTATTGTCACAGAGACGGTGCACTTCTTAGGTCCCTTCAAATGACATTATTTAAGGGATAGGCACACCTTCTCGGTCAGATCTTACAGGGCAGAAACGGGAGAAAGACAATTCCTTCAGATAGCCAGACCTTATGCATGACGGCTTTATTTCAATTATACATGCCAGGTCAGCAGCCTCATTCATGAGTTAGTTACAGAAGAGGGAAGACTTGTTATATACCAATCTGTTGTTTGTTTGCAAGAGTTCAGAGCAACTGAGGATCTAGTTACCTAGCAATGGAACTGAACAGTGGAAGCTGGAAGGCATAACTGGCATCAAATATTGACTGAGACCTTAATATGTGCAAAACTGGTAGAAAGGCATAGATAATAACCGTTAACTCATAAGACATGAATGAAAGTCAAAAGAAACAAAACGGCTTTGTGTGCCACTTTGTGGGAATGTTTGTGTGCCACTTTGTGAGAATGTTATCTAGAAGTTGAGTGTGTCAGAAAAAAAACATAAAAAATATGTGTCAAAAGAAACATAAAAATATAGTTGGGATATGGTAATTAAGTGTGCAGGATAAAACAAGAAGCTTGAGAATTAATGGGTACTGAATGAATGTGGATTAAATACAAAAGTGCTTGACTAGTATAAAGGAAGTACATTAAAGCAGTTTGGTCATACAGAGAGAATAAATGAGGATTGCAAAACAAATACATGAACAAAGAGAATGGAATGGAAGATTCGTAAAGATGTGGATAGGCAGATTTGATGAGATTCTCAAAGAGAACTATGAGAACAGCAAAGAACAAAAAGCAATGTAAAATGTGTGAATTCAGCCAATTTTACTCAATGAAATAATGTTGAACAAATTATCCCTTAAGTGCAGTACATAACCAATTAAGTATTATCATAGGAATAAAAAAAAGACAATTCATAAGAATAAAAGGCAAGCATGTTTGACAAGGAGGGTTGCCATTAAGGCCAAATTAAAAGTGAAAAGGAAAGATAATAAAGTATATCTCTAGCATGATTGCATTGTACATATTTTCAACAAGAGTTTTCATAAGTAAGTTTTACTTTGCATGATGTAGAACAATAGCTCTGTACATTCAATATGAAACAAATAATCTATATTAACACTATTCCTTATTAAAGCACAAGAGCAATTTGGCATTTCATAACAATAACAGTTACTGCTTCTATTGTATCATATACCCCCATTAGACCAAGGTAATGAGCCATTCTCTTGCCAAAAGGGGGAAAAAGAGTGGAGAGGGGAGGGGAGGGGAGAAGCAAATTAGGTAAGATTGCATGAAAAAGCATGAAAAATAAATGGGAGGGTGGAAAAGGATGGAGGAGGGAAATGCTACATTGTATACAAAGAAAAGCATTACTGTTATATATAATGCTTCTATATCACAATTATACTTTCTTCAAATAAAAATGAAGAATTGTTTAAGAAACCATTTTTGGAGGGGGATGCTGTTAACTGGTAACATTTTGCACAGACATCAGTAATACTAGGGCAGATAAATATTTGTGTATAGGTTAGACTGCAAGTGTTATTCTCAATATATTTCAAATTATTCCTTATTCTTCTGCCTCCTTTCCTCCAAGCAGTCAGAGCAACATTTACTAGCTTGCTCTTCTTCTCTTACAAATCTGGTGTGACAAAACTAGGATGAACCAAAAAGGGTCACTTCCTCCAAGATATTGTAACTTTTTACACGCACGAGCTCTTGGTCACACTCAAGAGAAGAGGACAAGATTATTTCCATATTAATTTTTAACCTTTTAATCTATTCCACCCAGGCATGTGCTGTGCAAATTATAATTCTGTTTCATAAGGTTTGAAATTATTTCCCTTAAATCGCACAAGGGGACACGGGGCAATACTTGGCTTAAGAAGAGGGAGTGCTTTTAGTGCTTTCGTGCAAGAGACGGGAATCTCTCTGTATTTATACCACAGAGGCCGGGATTAAAAAGAAACGAAGGGCGAAACACAGGCGTCTTTCCTTGGACGAAGCAACGTTTGGTCGCCCTAGATCGGAAACTATGACGCCTTTTTCTTTCCCGCGGACCGTCTCTCCTTCAGGCGAGGGCTCTTCCTTGCCTCCTCGTGCCAAATCGACCAAGCGAGCCGGACTCTGAGCCTGACCGTTGCCACCTTCCTTACCCAGGTACCGTCCCGGATGGTGCTCGGATTGGCCCGATTCCCTTTCGGCATGGTGAGGAAGCTGAGGCCGAGCCCCTCCGATAAGGACTCCTCGCGTGTGGGGGGGGGGAGGTTAATTTCGCCAGGGAACCAGAAGGAAAGGTCGCCCAAAGAGCAAAAGGTGCAGGAGGCAGTTCTGGTTGCCACGGCTACCGTTGCCAAGTTCCTTGCTTCTGCGTCACGCTGAGGGAATCCCCCCCCCTTCCTTCTGTTGCATCCAGCGCTCCGAACGGCTTTCCCGACCGTTGAAAAAAAGGCGGGAAATTGCTTCTGCGTCTCCTTACTTTTCTTCTTGAGGTAGTTTCTGTCTTTTAAAGAGCTTCCAGAGACATCTAAGGAGTCTCCTTACTTTTCTTCTTGAGGTAGTTTCTGTCTTTTAAAGAGCTTCCAGAGACATCTAAGGAGTCTCCTTACTTTTCTTCTTGAGGTAGTTTCTGTCTTTTAAAGAGCTTCCAGAGACATCTAAGGAGTCTCCTTACTTTTCTTCTTGAGGTAGTTT